TACCGGAGGACACGCTTGGCGGCCTGCCAGTGCTCTTCCGTATGCTTGCCTGCGCCAACAAAACGAGCGAGGACGCTGATGGGGTAGGCAAGGTCAGGGCGAGTGGAGACCATGGCGTACATGAGGGAGCCGATGAGCTCGGGATAAGGATGGGAGGAGGCTGAGGGGGAGGTGGGTGGAGAGAGGTGGTGCCCGACAGAAAGAGGAGTAGGTTGGGCGCCGCCGCGGACCATGTCAAACCGCTCCAAGACCTGCTGCAAGTAATGACCCTGGGAGAGAGAGATGGTGCGGGCGGAGCGATCGCGGGTGATTGTCATGCCCAGGTAATGCTGCAATTCGCCCAAGTCCTTGCACTTGAGACGGCTGCCCAACTCAGCCTTAACACGCTCCAACTCGCTGAGGTCGGCAGTGAGTAGAATCATGTCATCGACATAGACAAGGATGTAGAAGGGGGAGGGGGAGGCGCGGAGGAAGAGGCTGGCGTCAGAACGGGAGGTGCGGAATCCAAGTTCAGCAAGGGTGGCGGCAAGCTTAGCATGCCACTCCCTCGGGGCCTGTCGGAGCCCATACACAGGGCGACGCAGCTGCCAGACAGAGTCCGCAGGGAAGGGAAGGTGAAAACCGGCAGGACGCTCCATGTAGATAAGCTCGCGGAGGACGCCTTGGAGGAAGGCGTTAGAGACGTCCATCGAGTGGATCTCCATATTGAGGCGAGCGGCGAGGTCGAGCACGGCGCGAACAGTAGCGGGCTTGGCAGTGGGGGAGAAGGTATCGAAGAAGTCAAAACCATACCGCTGCGTGAACCCCTTGGCGCAGTAACGAGCCTTGTAGACGGGCGGCTCCCCTGGCAGTTGTTTGACGCGAAACACCCACTTCCCCTTCACCACGTTCGTAGAGGAGGGAGGGCGAGGCACTGGGAGGGGGCGCAAGGTGCCAGCATCGCGAAGAACTGTGTCAGTGGCGCCGCTGTCAAGGACAAAGTCGACAGTGGAGGGGAGGGAGGAGGAAGGGACAGAGGACTGGAACGCAGTTTCTTTAGTGCTAGAGGAGTATGTGGCAGGGGCAGCTGATGTGGCTTGATTGACCATACCAGCAATACCAACGGATGAGAGAGGTGGGACATTGCTTGAAGTGGCGGAGCTTGTGGAACAATGCGGAACTGAGTTCTGCTGGGAAGTTGGGGGAGGAGGAGGAAGAGGCAGCTGCGCTTGTGCGCTAAGGTGCTGCTGCAGGCGGTGAAGCAACTGCTGGAGCTGGAGGAGGAGGTGCCAGAGCTGCTGGTGCTGGTGCTGCTGCTGCTGCTACTGCTGCTGCTGCTGCTGCTGCTGCTGCTGCTGCTGCTGCTGCTGGTGCCGGTGCCGGTGCCGGTGCCGGTGCCGCTGCCGCTGCCGGTGCCGGTGCCGGTGCCGGTGCCGGTGCCGGTGCCGGTGCCGCTGCCGCTGCCGCTGCCGCTGCCGCTGCCGCTGCCGCTGCCGCTGCTGCCGCCGCCGCCGCCGCCGCCGCCGCCGCCGCCGCCGCCGCCGCCGCCGCCGCCGCCGCCGCCGCCGCCGCCGCTGCTGCTGCTGCTGCTGCTGCTGCTGCTGCTGCTGAGGAGGAGGAGGAGAGAAGGGTGGACTCGGGGCATGGTGGGCTTGGGTGGAGATTTTGCACTGAAGTCCCCGAGTCGGGCCATAGCGAGGCACATATTCACGAGGAGAGAAGGCTGCTGCTGCGCCGCAGCCTGCGCTCAAACCCCTGATACCACAATATCCTGCGAGTCTCCCTTGACCACCACCACAGCTACCACTATGCCCTCCTCCATGCCCACCGGCACCACTTCTGCTGCATGCCAGGGCGACTATTGCCATGGAGGGAGCAATGTGAGTGTGGGCGGTTACGGCATGGCGCAGGCGAGCAGGGCATGAAGGTGTGCGGTATGCGTTTGCAAATGTGCGGTATGCCGGGGAGGTGGGCAGGGGGCGGACGAGGGGACGGGGGACAGCGAGCGGGGAAGGAGGGCGTGCGACGAGTGCGCGGACGGGGAGGGCGCGGACGAGCAGGGCGCGCGGACGGGCAGGGCGCGGACGAGCAGAGCGCGCGGACGGGCAGGGCGCGGACGAGCAGGGCGTGCGGACGGGCAGGGCGCGGACGAGCAGGGCGTGCGGACGGGCAGGGCGCGGACGAGCAGGGCGTGCGGACGGGCAGGGCGCGGACGCGAAGGGCGGACGAGCAGGGCGCGCGGACGGGCACGGTGCGGACGAGCAGGGCGCGCGGACGGGCACGGCGCGGACGAGCAGGGCGTGCGGACGGGCAGGGCGCGGACGAGCAGGGCGTGCGGACGGGCAGGGCGCGGACGAGCAGGGCGTGCGGACGGGCAGGGCGCGGACGAGCAGGGCGTGCGGACGGGCAGGGCGCGGACGAGCAGAGATGGGCGCGAAATGGTCAGATTTCAGCGCGGGAGATGCAGATCTGGTCGCGCGGAGGGCAGATCTGGGCGCGCGGAGGGCAGATCTGGGCGCGCGGAGTGCAGATCTGGGTGGGCGGAGTGCAGATCTGGGCGCGCGGAGTGCAGATCTGGGTGCGAAATGTTCAGATCTGGGCGCGGGAGGAGGAGATCTGGTGGCGCGGAATCCAGATCTGGGCGCGGAATGATCAGATCTAGGCGCGGGAGGAGTAGATCTGGTCGCAGGGAGTGCAGATCTGGGCGCTGGAGTTGCAGATCTGAGCGCGGGGAATGCAGATCTGGGCGCTGGAGTTGCAGATCTGAGCGCGGGGAATGCAGATCTGGGCGCTGGAGTTGCAGATCTGGACGTGCCTTGGAGGGCAGCGCCTTAGGGGGCGCACGGGGAGGGAGGACAGCGCCTTAAGGGTGCGTGAAGGGAGGGCAGCTCCGTGGGTGGGGCTAGATCTGAGGAACGGGGAGGAATAGATGTGAGCTCGGGAGGAGTAGATCTAAGCTCGGGAGGAGTAGATGTGAGCTCGGGAGGAGTAGATCTGAGCTCGGGAGGAGTAGATGTGAGCTCGGGAGGAGTAGATGTGAGCTCGGGAGGAGTAGATCTGAGCTCGGGAGGAGTAGATCTGAGCTCGGGAGGAGTAGATGTGAGCTCGGGAGGAGTAGATCTGAGCTCGGGGGGGATAGATCTGAGCTCGGGAGGAGTAGATGTGAGCTTGGGAGGAGTAGATCTGAGCTTGGGACGAGTAGATGTGAGCTCGGGAGGAGTAGATCGGAGCTCGAGAGGAGTAGATCTGAGCTTGGGAGCACCGTAGTAGGACTAGGTCTGAGGGACGGGGAGGAGAGGGTGGCCTTAGGATCGAGGGATTAAGGCGTGAGCCAATAGCTCATGATACCATGTTGAAAAGCTAGAAGAGATACATTGAATAATGAGCCAAGAGGCCCTTTAGTACAAACAATGAGCAAGAGAGAGATGAAAGGGAAGCTTACCCTATTGGCCAATAAGTTGGCCAATGGGTGAGCTTGCTTGTGACCCAAGCAACCACAAATGTGTGTTGGTTGGGATTGGTTGAGCTAGGGACCAATCCCAACCAACCACAAAATGTGGTTGGAGGGTACACTAAACAACCCCCCAATTTATAAGTGTACTACAGATCTAATTCTAGCCTATGTATGTTGTACAAATTATGAAATTACAACAGGAGGAGGCAGAGGAGGCGGAGGAGAAGGTGTGCAAAAGAAAAGCGTTGACTTTCTCTACGCTCAGCTCCAGAGCCTTCCAGCTGCACAGCACTTCAGCAGCAATGCTTCGCCCCCCTCCCCAACCCGTCAGCCGGCACCACAGTGTTTCTATGTCCCCCATGTCATCCCTTAGCTGAATCCTCTCGCTCAGCAGCAGTAAGGTCAGAGACTCCAACCCCTGCTCTGCCTCCACCTCCCTCTCCCATTCCCTTGCTCCTTCCGCCTGCACTGCACTCCCCACTTGCTCACTCCGAGCCAGACACCCCACTTCCTTACCGACTCCCCTCTTCCCTTCCCTTACTCCATCTCTTGCTACCGTACCGGTCCCCCTGCACATCAATGCCTCCTCCTGTCTCAGCCAGATGGCAACCGCCAGCTCCAATGCCTTCCTGCTCCCTCCACTCCAGCTCTTCTGGCCTTCGTCCCCAACTTCCTCAACCCTCGCTGCTGCGCCCTTTCCTATCCATTTCCTCATTTCTAACCTCCAGCTCCAACTGTTACCACCTGTGTTCACCCGTGCACATTCACCCACATCCCCATTCTCATCCTCATCCTCCTCCTCTTCCTCCTCCTCACCTCCCTCTTTCCTTGCGCTGCTGCTGCTGCAGCAATTCAGGGGCCACCCGTTGTTCCCATTCGCCCACATGCTGGAAACACGGGCAGCTTCCATTGCACACTCAAACGCCCTGCCCCACATCTTCTGCTGAACAAACATCTCAGATGCCCCTAACATATCGCCCTTCTTCAGTCTCGCTGCGGCTGCCCGCTCAAAGTTCCCCTCAGCGACCTCGACTTGCAACAGCTCCTCAAACAGGTCTCTTCTCTCCAAGAAACGCCGCTTCTCTGCTGTGGCAGGGAACTGGAGCACATACTTCATCATCTTGGCCCTCTCCTTCTTCCGATAGAAAAACTTTGCGGCGTCGTGGAGGAAAGCAGAACTCAGCTTTGTGACCACCCCCTTTCATGGGAGCACTCTCAGAAATGACATCCCTTGAAATTTTTAGTACGCTGCTCAGCCCGTCTGCAATCTGCGCCTGCCAGGAATGAATGAGCGTGAGGCCTAGGTTGTAGAGCCTGGATTGTGAGCACACAGCTAGTGCCCGTTCCACTAGCCACGCCTGGGCCAGACACTCGGCAGCATCTGAGGCCTTTCCGGCCTGAAGGTAGCACGCTGCGGCCCTCTCCCACTGTGGCAGCTTGCACATGTTGCGGTAGATGGCAGCTGCTTTGACAGGAAGCCGGAAGCGAGAGGGAAGGGGAAGGAAGGGAAAGGAAAAGGGCAAGCCCATTAATGCCCGTTTATGGTGCTTGTGCTCTTTGGTGTAACTGAGGATTCACATGAAGGTGTTATGGACGGAAACTGAGAGGAAAATGGAAAAGGAAAGGGGAAAGAAAAGGGAGTAGAAAGAAATATGGAAGGGAAAGTAAAAAAGGGAAGGGAAAGGAGAAGGAAAGGAGAAGTGAAGGAGAGGGGAATGAGAAGGGAAGGAGAAGGGAAGAACAAGGAGAAGGAGAAGGGAAGAACAAGGAGAAGGAGAAGGGAAGAACAAGGAGAAGGAGAAGGGAAGGAGAGGGGAAGGAGAAGGGAAGGACATAGGAAGCAAAAAGAACGGAGAAAGGAAGGAGAAGGGAAGGCGAGAAGGAGACGAAAAGGTGACGGACAAGAGGTGATTAGTATTGGAGGGTTTACACATGAGGGACAAAGGAAAAGAGAAGAACTCAAACATGCACGAGAGGTTGGTTGTGCACAAGAGAGTCAACGGCAAGTTGTTCTGTCCCCGAAAATGCTTCTCAACATGCGAGGGCGTCGTTCCCATCATCAAGAAAACGGTCTCACATCCACCTACACACTCCAGGACTGGCTGGCACGCTATTTCTGCCACCCCCGATATTCACTTCACCCCAATTAAGCCCCTTCCCCCTCCCCCTTTTCCCCTCCTGGTCTAACCTGCTCGTTCCATCTCCCCAGCGCTGGCGAGGCACCCCGCAGCGTCCCTCGGCCGCTCAACCGCCAGAAACGCCTGCGCGGCTTCCTGAAAGGTCCGGCAGGCCTGCCGGTGGTCTGTGCCTTGCTGCCTCTTGGCCGTCTGCTGCAGCAGAGCTGCGTGTGCCACTGCTGCTCTGCGATCATCCCGCGCCCTCTCAAAACTCGTCTTCGCCGCCTCAAACTGCCCAGCGTTGAACATCTGGAGCAAGGGGTTGCAGAAGGAATAGGGGCAGAAACGAAGATGGAGAGAAGATGGGTTAGGAATGGGAAAGGGAGGGGAGAAGAACGGAGTGTGTGGGAGGATGACAGGCGATGCGTGCGAAGCTTGGGCTGCTACAGGAAAAGGTGAAACTGGGGTGGCTTCTGAGAGAAACCAGAGTGGGAGGGGAACGACAGAAGAGGAGCAATAGACTGGTTAAAGAATTGATTCCAAACCCAGTTTGCCAACGCGACATTTCTGTTTTCGCGTTAACCTTTTTTTTTTTCTCGGAGTAACACGCACGTCACTCGCACAATCCCTTTTACTTTGCGCGTCGATGTAGTCGACCCTCACTCTTAGTAACAATGCGACAGTGTGTCCCTCCCTACAGGTAAGCAAAAACATGCCATGTACGTGCATCCACCTACCCACCTCGAAGCCTCGCTTGTGCCATTTCTCTGGCGAGGATTCTGTGTGCATGGACGCAATGAGATCGTTGGTCAGCGGGCGCACCACCACAAGCCCCATCGCCTCCCACAGCTCCATGGCTGGCTGCCTTGCTGCCTCGTCCTCCTCATAGATCCACAGCCGCTGCCGCGCACGCGTTAGCACCACGTACAGCTGCTTCAACTCGCTGCACAGCAGGTTGTGCCTGCGATGGGAGGGCGACAGGTGGAGAAGAGGTGGGAAAAGGGAGGGGGTGGGGATTCGGACATGAGAAGATGAGGTAACTAAGTGCAATACCCAAGTGAAAGGAACTGGGCGAGCGTACGCAAAAGTGGAAGGAGAACCAAGGTGGCACAGAAGCACACAACACACACACAACCAACTTGAAAAGAACACAATAATGATTGAGCCTTTATTCTGGTAAACTCAAAACTTTCTGAGGTCGCCCCAACAAAAAAAGAGCCCAAGGCACAACCCATTTGAAGGATCATAGGGGTCTTCGGACCACTGCCTCAACTGGTGGCGCACACACGCGTGTCGGCACTGCGATGGCCCGGTCGTGCTCAGCTTTTGTCAACGCCATAATTTTCGAGTCATAATTTTGAAAGTTTCAACAAAGGTGGTACAAGACAGAACCACGCATCTGAACAACACTACAATGAAGGACGGCATCACCTTCTTGGGTCAAAGGCAGGGCACTGCCACTGACTGGAGGAGCTGCTTTGTGCAGTTGAGGGTATGAGATGGTGCTGCCGCATGTAGTCATACAACAGGCGCCAACCCGAGTCGAGCAGAGAGTGAGAGAAGAAGTTGTAGATCAGAGCATCCTGATTGGAAGAGGTCGAAGAGTGGAAAGAGGTGGATGGAGAGGCAACTCAGCAACTGATCTAGTTGAATATCTAAATATTCAGAACAGGAAACTACTGGAAAGGGATGGTGGTTGCATGGGTTGCATAGTAAGGGCGGATATAGGCTATTTGGAACAACAAAAACGACCCGAGCATGACATAACATGCATGGGTAGAGACGAGACAACTCTTAAGCATCTCTGCACTGCACTGCACTGCACTGGTCCACTGGCGCACCTGGAACTCCAGCCCCTTGCACTCATGCACGCTGAGCACGAGCCTGCGCAAGCCAGTGCGCTCCACCAGATCCGTTCGCCGCGTTGCGTCTCGCACTAGAATGACCTGACCGGGCGCCATAGAAGGGTTGCACAATAGAAAACATATTGATTTGCTGGCACGTTTCAAGCTGGCACGTGACTCGCTTTTCATGATTGCCCCCCTTTGCTTCCGTACTCCCCATTTGAACCCTAACTCCCCCTGCCGTTGTTTCTTTCAACCTCCATTCATACCTTGTCTCCGCCTTCTCTCTTCTCTTCCCTTCCCCCTCCTTTCACTCGGCATCAATACCCATCCTCACCTGCTCAGTGCCTAATTCAGCACCGAGGGGCAGCTGCACCTTCCCCTACAATCATACCTGCTCAGCGCCGAATTCACACCCTCCTCCAATGCCCCCGCGCTTCCCAAACAGCTGTGCCACGCGGTCACAGCTGCCGCCGGACTGGAGGAACACGGGCGGCTCGCCGTGCTGCTGGCTGAACTCAGGCTGCAGGCGGTCGACAGAGTGGGGGAAGAAGTGCAGCAGCACTCGCACCACGCTGTCTGCCACTCGCACAATGCCGCTGTGCGACCGGAAGTTCTGCGAGAGGAACTGCAAGTCCGGCATCTCAGTGCATGAGGAACGATCCTCTGCTGGTGGGCCAACGCAAACGTCCTCTCTCCCATCCATGATGCCTACAACCGGGTCGATGACTGCTTCTGATGTGGTTTTCTTTGTGCCTGCTGCACCCTTAGAAAAGCCTGCACAGGGCTTACTAACCCCTGCTTCCTTCCCTGCACTTCCCTCCCCTCGAACCTCTTCCTGAATCCTTTTCCCCCTGGCTGACTGCCTCTGTCTCCCTCGCGACTCTATTGCCCTCGCCCGCCTCCCTTGCTTCTCCCGCACAGCCCCAGTCCCACCTTCACACCCTCCTTCCTTATCCTCACCGATCCTGCCGCTCACCACGATCCCCCTTCCACTTACCTCTCCACGATCCCCCTTCCACTTACCTCACCACGAACCCCTCCTCGCCCTCCATCCAATTCCTCGCTCCTCTCCACCCCGCCAGCAGCAGAAGCCACCCCTTTCCCCAGGAAAAGCTCGTAGAAGAGCCGCCGGACGTCCTGAAAGCGAAAGTCCACCCCACGAGCGATGGTTTGGGCAGTGTCACCGGCAAAGAAAAAACCGCTAGCGACATTGGAACAGAGGAACTGCAGGATGGCGATCTGCGCCTGGGTCAGGTCCTGCACCTCGTCCACATACACATACTGGAATGGTGGCCCTGCGAGGACTTTCCCTCCAGCACCAACGACCCTGCTCGCCCCAATCGCAGTTGGAGAAACCTCAGCCTTGCTGCGATACGGAGGAGTGCTGGTGCTACCACAGGCAGTGCCTGCTGCAGCAGCCGCAGCGGGGGTCCAGAGCCGTGTAGCCCCTTTCTCCAGCTGCTTATACACATGAAACACGTAGTCGCACATGTCATGGTCCCCTCTCTGCCGCTTCAGCCTCTCGTACTGCAGGAAGAGCGCGTACACGGCCGTGCGCTGCTCCTCGTTCAGGCTCGACGTGCGCGTGCGCGCCAGCAGCACGTAGTCCTGCAGAGACACGCGGCCGTGCGGTGACCTGAGCGCGTGCAGGGAGCCCTTGATGTGCGAGAAGATCTCCTTGAACACCGCGGACGCGTCGAGACGACGAGTGGTTGCTGCGTTGAGCCGCGGCCAGTAGACTGCCTCAAAGCGCTCGTAGTCAACCTCCTCTGATGAAGCCCATGCAGCAGCAGTGGCATTGCTGCTGCTGCTGCTACTTTTGATGCTGCCACGAGTTCTGCTAAGAACGCTGCTCCTGGGGACTATTCCAGTGGTGCTGGTTCTGGTGCTGCTGCCGATGCATTGCAGCATGCCCCCTCGCCACCTGTGTGCGCTAAACAGCCCCCCCTCATCCTCTTCCTCATCATCATCCTCACTATAGTCGTCCTCCTCATTCTCCTCGCCCCACACTGCATTCACACCACCAGGCAAGCCGTCACCACTCCAGCAACCTCCCATAGACCCCCCTCGGCCCCATCCACTGCTCCCTCCCGTGTGGAACGGGTGCGATAGTGTGGCATTCACCATGCTGAGAAGCTTCTTGAAGGTGAGTACAAGAGGGAAGGCAGCTGGCGGTACTGAATCCAGAGCCTCTGGTAGGTCGCCCAGAAGCTTCTCCTCTGCTTCTTCCAACAACAGCAGCTCATCCTGCCCTTCCTCCCCTGCCTGTGCTTCTCTTTCCCCTCTCCCCGCGCGTTCATTCGGCAAGCAGGGACCGCTTTGCTCCTCTGCCTGCAGCATAGTCCTGCCAGAGGTGAGAAAGAGGCCACAATGGACGGAGACAAGAGGGAACAGGAGAGATGATGTGACAGAGATAATGTGGAAGAGTTATATGGCGCAGCAGGTCTGGCAAGGCACCCTCACCTCGTGGCCTTGTTCACATAGCGTTTGATGGCAGCACACAGGCGCGCACTCGGAGTCACAACCACCTGCCGGAGTCCACCCCTCTCCTCCTCTCCCTCCCCCCCACTCTTCCCTTCACCCTCCTCTTCCTCACTCTCCTCAAGCTTCTCATATGTCCCCCAGCCGCCCTGCTCTCTGCCGAGTGAGGCGCGACTGCGTCCAGAGCGCACACTTTGAGAATTCTCAGAAGTCAGAAGGCGCCTCTCGCCCATGGCGCGGCGGAACGTGTGTTCCAGCAACAGCAGGCGGTGGGTGATCACTGTCGTTTTGCCCGTGCTTGGGCCAGCCACAGGGTTTCGGGGATGGGCGACCGAGGAGGAAGAGCATGCGTAGGTTATACACGCCTTTTGGAACTCAAGTCTCCTTGGCTGACTCAAACAAACAGAAGCGGAGGGGATTGGTGGAAAAGACTGGTGCGGCATTGGAAGGGCGGACTGCTTGCTACAAGCAACTGACCGGCCTAACACAATTGGTCGTGACTGCTGTGCAGTCACACCCTCGTTTAAGTTATCAAGCATGACCACGCCCACCTGATCGGCCAAGCACAAAAGCAGTGCAGTTGGAGTGGACTATCGCCGCTTGCTGCTCGTTCAGCTTAAAGAGCCACTCCCCCGGAACTGCTGCCATCAGGTGCTGGGCGGAGCCCAGCGAAAGCGGATAGAATTTCATTAATAGCACGTTGTCATCCACTGGCGCTCGCTCCAGTGTGACAGCTGATTCTGGGTGTGAGGCTGGCAAACGTATAAGGGAGAGAGTGGAAATGGATGAAATGGAGAAAGTTTGAGACGAGGGAAGGGCAGATAAAATTTTCAGGAAAGAAGTAGTTGAAACGAAGGCTGTCGGTGGAGCTTGCTCGTGCTGATGGATGCATACTGTATGCCTCCCTTCCGTCATTCACACCTGACTTTCCAGAACCATACGGTATCAAGCGAGGTTACATCATATCAGCGACTCGGATAAAAAAAAAAAAAAAAAAAAAAAATGCAGCACCTGGCACATGGTGGATCGGTTGCCCCCTCCACCACTCGAAGGGAGCATGGCGGTTGAACTGGCGAGGATGCACCCTGCGAGCGGAGCCAGGAGCGCTTGCGGCGCAGCAGTCAAGGCGCTGGTCTGAGAACGAGGCCAGGCCTTTTGCCAGGCGGTGTAGCCACGGCAGCACCCCGCGCTCTGGCACCACGTCCCACACCTTGATCATCTGTGAGTGAGGAGGGTAGGGGCATGGGAGAGGGGGGGGGGGGGGGGGGGGGGGATGGAGAAACGACACATGAGGGAAGTGAATTTGAAAGGTGAGAAATGAGAAACGGGTTGTGCTGCACCATGCAACAGACAAAGCTCCGCCACCAGACACCAGCGGAGTAACACAGGCATCTAAAGTTCTCAGTCAGTTGCAAAACCCGTTTGTATCAAAGCTCCAGAAGGAGTATCAAGCAAGTGACTGACCGAGCATACCATTTCTATGAAAAAGGAGGAAGAAGCAGCACCATACAGGGAATGGCTACGAAGAGAACACGTTTCCTTATGAGGAAAGAACAGCACACGCGACGACAGACTGGCTAAACCAGCATATCCCAGGATCCATAACTCCAGCACTGAAGCCAGACCAAACCCCACACGAACCCGTGCGGCCTGTGTGGGGGAAGTCCTCACTTGCTGATAAGACTCCGTTGAGATGTCAACGGTCCAGATGAGAAAGGCCCGCCCCACAGGCTGCACATGAATGATGTCGTGATAGCGCGGGTCGCTAAGCTCGTGTCGCGGCCGCGTGTCCCACTGCGGACGGTGGCCCTGCATGAGGCGCCGCACTGCATTGATCACCTCCAGTGAAGGCGCCTGCCGCATGCTGCGCTGAAACTCCTGGCTGAACGCCGCCTGTGGGTACCGGCAGGCGGCAGGCAGCAGGCGCAGCGCAGAGGCACGGCGCAGGGAGAAGAGAAGGGGAAGGCGGAAAAAGGGATAAGAGGGAAGGTAAGGAGGAAAGGGAGTACACGCTGAAGCAGCACGAGTTGAATCTGCACCCACCACTGACCGCAATCTGTCAGCAGCTGCAAGAGTCCACGGAACATAAGTCCAACGTCCACATAAAACCATAGTCTGCTGTGGTCACAGCAACGAATCATCCCGATGTGATTAAACTGAATGAGAGTTGTGGTTACCTGAGTTCCCCTGATCACGCATTCCGCGCATGCACAACCGCTTTCCTCAAGCCCCCCTGTGCTCACCTTGCTTATCACCCTCCCATAACTCACCTCCCAGTGCAGGCCGACCCAGAGCCCAGAATGGGGCTTCAGCAGCTGCTGCGCCTCCCCCACTTGTACCCACCGCCTCTCCACAGCCCTTGCCAGTCCTTCATCGCTCCCAGCCTCCACCAGGCACCCGTGCCCCTCCGCATCCTGCACCAGCTGCGCCCACATGCTGTCTCCCCTCCGCAGTGTGTGTGTGTCGCCCACCACCCAGAGAGTGTGACGCGCACGGGTGATGGCCACGGTCAGACTGGCTCGCCCGGGGTTGTGGCGGGGAGGAAGGAGGTGGTGTTAGGGACCAGGGGAGGAGCAAGAGCAAGGGTGGACGAGACGGGAACCGTGCATCAAGATTGCAAAAAGGAAAAGGAGAGATATGGGTGGGAACCTGAATCCTATCATCTGTCAGTGAAAACTCATTAAAGACAAGGCATAAAAGAAAAGAAGGTGCCAGTAGCACTGGAGCGAATACCGCCGACAACAATGACCGACAACAGCGAAAACAGCACCGTGAGAGAGAGAGAGCCTAACCTACCGCCTAGGATCTGCAACAAATCCGATGGTGCCCGAACTGTTGGAGCGAACGGTGCTGATAACAACAACGTCACACTCCCTGCCCTGGAACCCGTCCACTGTGTTAACTTCCACAGTCAGGGAGGGCCACGGCTTGGCCTCCACGGCCCGCTGCAGCAGCTCCACCTGGCGGGCGTATGGCGAGATGAGCCCCACCTTCACAGGCCCTCCCTCCTTGCCTCCGCATGCTGCACATTGGGAGCGGGACACCGATGCCCATAAGCCATGTGCCATGCAGGGTGTGGACATGGGATGGGATAATGCCGGCTGGACTGAGAGATGAGACTTCTGAGATGCTTCATAGCTGCATGGGCTAGGAATCAAGACTAGGATCCGAGCGAAATAGCAGGTAGTGGGGGCAAGGCAAAATCGGGCTAAACGGTCAAAGAGGAGAGGGTGGATAGCAGAGGGCAGAGCGCACCGCTGGAGAGGCGCATGAGCAGCGCAATCACGACGGCAGCTTCAACCGAGTTGGCAATGCTGCGACTGCCTGCATCCACAGCCACAGAGTCCCTCTCCTCACGCCCCCTCACATGGAAGAACCTGTACGGGCCAAACAGCAGATGCAGGTGCGGCGGGCAGTGCGAGGGCAGGCACACGTTGAGGCCGTCCTGGATGCGGCGGTGGTAGAAGCAGTGCGAGGGGAAGCGGGTGATGTCGGGGTGCATGCGGTACTGCACGCTCAGCACCTCTGCGTGCCACCCCGCCCTCTGCACGCGCTCCCACACGCTGCGCTTCTACTGCCCTTGCACTGCCACCTGCGGGTGCGGAAGGAAGGAGCAGAAACGGCGAGGGCGTGCAAGTGATGGGGATACGGATTGGAGTTGCGGGTGTGAGGTCGGAATTCTACAATAGGTGGGACCAGTGGTCATACTCCTCATGCGCATGCCCTACATAGACGCACACGCACACGCACACCCACACACACCGGCGTGGCTGTCTGGTCCAGCAGCCTCGCCTCCAGGCCACTAATCCGCGTATGCTACTAGCAACCCTGTCACTCACGTCCCTTCTAAAGCCGAGCCCACTGACCTTACTCATAACGGTAGCAGGCAGCTGCTTGGGGTCCCCCACCAGCACGGCATAGCGCAGCCCACATGCCTGCAGGGCCACAAGGGACTCCGCCTCCACCAGCTGAGCCGCCTCGTCCAGCAGCAGCAGTGGAAAGTGGCCGGAACAGCGGACGAGAGCCCGGGCAGAGGAGGAGACGGTGGAGAGGACGAGGCGTGCGCCTGCCACGCACTGAGCGGCTACGGTGGCAGCTGATGGGTTGTTGCTGAGGGTGGGGATGTGGAAGGCGGGGCTTTGCTTGCCGATGTGCTTCAGATGGCGGCGGATGGAGTGGAAGAGGTGCTCGGCTTGCGAGAGAGAGATGCGCGCATCCCTGGTTGAGCTGCTCGCGGCAGTGGAATCGCTGCTTCTGGCAAGGGACTGGCTGGTGCTGGCCGTGGCGTTGGCAGCGGCTTGATTGTTGATGGGTCCTCTTGCTCCCGACCTAAGCATCCTGCCAGCCCAGTCAGAGGTCTTTCTGATTCCGCCACCCCTGTTAACATCCTCAAAAGGAGCAAGAAAAACAGCAGCCTCGTGTAGAACTGAGGACACGCTGATCTCGAGGCCATCCTCCTCTTGTGTATGTGACCCATCAAGCCAGCTTAGTACGGCATCCGATGGGAGCCCTGGGCAAAGCAGAAGATGCTGCAAGGCTGCCATCAGCTCACCCGCCTGCAGCAGCTGCACACGCTCGCGCTCTGGCAAAAGGGCGGAGGGCAGATCGTGAGCCAGGCTCATGGCGCCCTCCATAGCCGGATCAACAAGCTGAGCCACACGCTCCTGGAAGAACTCAAGCAGGTTCGGAAGAGCTTCTGTCCCTCTGTTGCTCACCGTCTTGCTGTTTTTCCAGCCAGGATCCTCTTTGAGCCTCATCTCTAGCACCTTTACGTGTGCCTGGTGGACCCGACTCATTTCCTCCGCGGAGGTTTCAAGAAAGCTCATCAGCGTTAGCACAGACGCCCTCCAGCCTGACTGCAAAGACAAAGCTCCCAGCAGCCGCGCTACCCGCCCACAACACACACCCCCCTTCCGCTTCGGAAACGCCCCGGGATCCCTCCTCCTCCCTTCCCCCAGGAGAATCAAATCCAGCTCTGAGTCTACCACCAGCCTGTGTTCATTCGCCACCAGGACAATATCTCCAACGTGCAGCCTCCCTCCAGCCAAGAAGGCCTTCTCAAACTGAAAAGACCATCCGTCTGGAAGCCGCTGCTGCTGCTGCTGTGCCTGGCAGTAGCCTGGGAAGTGGGAGGACGGGTCGGGCGAAAGAGAGAGGCGCAACATTCGCCTGGCGACTTCGGCTGCGGCCACGTTGGTGGGCGCGCAGACGAGAGTGCGAACACCAAGAGCAAGCGCAACAGAGAGGAGCACGGAGAGCGTGTGGGTCTTTCCTGTGCCGGGTGGGCCTTGCACGAGCTGCAGCAGAGGAGCCGCACTGAAGAGAGAGGAGGAGGACGAGGGCAACGACAAGAAGGATGAGGAAAAGGAGAAGGGCGAAATGGAGCCAAGAAAAAAGGACAAGTTGCTGGTAGGAGCAGCGTCAGTGCTGGCTACGAGGAGGCCTCTAAGGCAAGTGAGGACTGCAGATCGCTGGGGATGGTTGAGACAACGTGACGTGCAGAACTGAGAAACAGCTTGCAGGAGGTGCGGAATGTGCTCGGGAGCGATTGAAAGGGCCGGCACGGACGTGGAGGCACTCTGAGAAGCAGCAGGGGGGAGCACGGAGGGCAGGAAACAAGGGGGAGAAGCGCAATACGGTATTGCTGAAGGCAACCGGCCTTAAACCACAAGCAATCACACAAGTCAATCCTCAAGGAGAGGCAGAACGTGCAAAGAACGGCATAATATGCATAGCTGCTTCACCATGTATGCAGGCCTTACCTCTCTCTGTTCTCCTCCTCCAATCTTAATTCCCGCCCTTAGGCCACCATCCCCCGGCCTCTGATCCGAACCCAGAAGTCCATGGAACATCCTCCGCCTCCACTTGCCCTCCACCTCCTCCTCCACAGTGCCTGAGCCACCCCCTCCTAGCTCCCCGCCTCAAGCACCGGATTGCAGAGCACCCCACACACGCTGTGGTGTTGCCAAGCTACCCACCAAGGTCACATACCACGACGCACCACCTGCACACTCCCCCCCTTCCACTGCCCCAACCAGGCCCTGATACTCGGGCGAATCCTCCGGAGTGCATGTCTTGGCCCGGAAACAGCGATCGCCGTCTCCATCCTCCCCGGACGAGTTCCCTCCCGCAACAAGGACAGCAAGACGATACAGCACCCCCGGGCGGAGCAGGTCTGCAGGGCCAGAGGGGGCTACAGTGGACAGCAGCACAACATCTGTGGGTTTCAGCCTCGCTGCACCTCCCCACGCTGCTGCCCCAGCGGCCCCTGCAGAATGCTGCTGCTGCACTTCCAAGCGCACGTAGCAGAATCCCTCCGCGTCAGAGCACGCCACCGCCGAGTGTGCTTCCCCTGCAGCGCCTCCCAGCTGCCCTCTGCATCGACCAATCGGCTGGACATGTGGCGCCATGCGCCACGGTGGTGCAACCAATGCACTACCGTGCACTGAACTCCTATGAACCTCGCCCTGGCAGTAGTCGTCATCACCAGAGTAACTCACAGACTGCCGCTGCCAGTCATCCCTCTCCATCTCCCCACATCCATCCGCTCTCGCTGCCCGTCCATCACCATCCCTCTGCACCGCTTTGACCACGATCCGTGTGGAGGCGGCGGCAGGCAGCTGTTCAAGGCCACGCTTGAGCCCCACACGGCACTCCTCCAGCAGGGGCCAGCGGAAGGCAGACAGGTACGAGGGTACATCCGGAAAGGTGGTTGGTATGGGCCGTACCTGCAGCACACAGGACAGCTTCAGAAGAGATTATGAAAGGAGAAAGGGGCTTGGGCGTGGTGCGGATGGCAAGGCATGGATCAGGTTCCAGTTAGCATAGACAACGGTGATAGAACCTGACCGTGGATCAGGTGCTAGAGCGAGCCTGTGGGGAAAGAAAACCAAGCTCGCTGCAAAAAGCAGTCAGCGCCACAGGTGCCAACCGCCACATGCTTCTCACAAATCGCATGTCATTTCTCAATAAAGATCGGCCTTCTTGTCGGCTCACCTTCTCTCGGAGCAGCTCGTCGTTAAAGATGTCCTCGATTCTCCACGTCATCACGAGCTGCTCCAGCTGGCAACCCCGTGTTAGCACCGTTACATCCTTCCCTGCCATGTGGTGCTGGATGGAACCCTCGAATTCACGGACTCCCTCTTATTTGGGAGATGGCTCCCAGATTTCGCTTGCAAGAACTCCACGAATTCGACGGCGAATCCAACAGGATTAGGCGTTTTTTAAGTAATGGTGCAATACCGCGCACGAGGCTCAGAGCCTTCGCACAAGTGCGAGCCTCGGAACTTGGAGCCTCGGAACTTTTGCACAAGTGCGAGCGCGGAAACGAAAGAAACTCTCTGAATCGTCCGCTCGGAAGTGGCTTTATCGGCCGCTAAAGACGCACCCAGGGAGGCTGAACGTCGAGATGTGACAGCGAGAAAGGCAAGAAAATGCCACAGAACTAGAGGCCAATAATTTCGCTTATGAACATTGTGAGGAGCAAGCCAATAACAAAGACGTGTTGTCCCCTCTCGGAGTCATCGTGCACGCTTCCGCCGAATCCCCTTGCTCCGTGCTCGACCCTTATTCATGGAACGGAATGCTAGGAACTCGCGGAGACGCGACGTTGAGCGAAGGCGTGAACTAGGAGTGAGGAAACCAGAGGGACGATAACGGAGCATGATGGCATGCCTTCGTCGCGGCCACTGTGGTGGTCCGTAGAACCCTATGGCTGGGCCAATAATCGAACGGTTTCTGTTGAAAGCCGCCATGCATGAACGGCGCTGCGGAAATTGCCAGGACGACGAACGATATTGCAGAATCTCACGGGGAAAGGAGCCAGTGGGTGGTATTGTACGAAGCTGGCTGGGAAGGCGGAAGAGGTTGCTGGTGCGATTCGTGAATAGGAGGGTGGTCCGATGCGAAGCGAATGGAAGGGCTGGTGTGGTAGGGAGAAGGATCTGGTCGGAATTTCCGGAGTGATCTAGGCGTTAGTTGGGCGTGAAGGTGGCCGCGTTCGACGGCGTGAATATAAATCATGGATCAACCATCCTGTATAAATTCCTGATGCGTACATTGGGTACTTGTAACCATGCTATAGTGCTTCTGACAAGTATTCTTAAACATCCTGAGAAGGAAATTGATTGTCAAATGATCCTCTTGCTTGCAATTGAACGAGTTATTTTCCAAGATAAACATTCTCTGTTCCAGCAGCAGGACCACCACCACCAGCAACACCCACCCAATTAAAAAGAACGATTTTCCAACCCATTACGGATATTTTGAACCGCGTGCAAAGGGAACGTTCCTATGGAGACACTTGTGTCTCAATCCTTTTGTGACGCGTAAAAACAACTTAAAACGTACAATGTCACAAATGCGAATCGCCCTTGTGCAACTTTTACTGTATTTTTCATTTGTCAGCGTGAAACGCGCTGATGTCGCGGACGAGTTGCATATTGACCCGTCATTGTGAACAACTCTGTACGCGGTTCGAAATGTCAATGCACCTGGATATCCCACAGTAAAAATCTCGCGCGGGGAAAAGTTCCGCTCGTCAAAATCCCACCCGAACCAAACAGTTGAAGAAACAGGTGTAGAGTCAAGTTTGAAATCCAATCAAACGCGAACAGCTGTAAATTTCGCCTGGTCGCACAGTTTCGTGATACACTCATTTTTTGTGACGCGAGATTGCAAAAATGTGTAGACGCGACTCGGAAAAAAAGGTGATTGAGACACAAGTGTACCGTAAGAAACTTGACAGCAAGGGGATTAGAAACTTGGCTTTACTAAGGCATTCCAACTATTGAAAACGTGGTACCGTAAGTAGGTACATTAGCAATTTATACAGGATGACAAAGTAAATTTGAACAACAATATGCTTTTGTGCGCAATCCCTATCATCTTATATTACCAAGCCTGTGGAACCCTCTTCACAACCCATGACCATCATCACTCTTGCAGAAACAAGGGAGGACACACCAGACGAACTAATCGGGACAGAAATGAAGTCAAGCCTTGAGCTCTCTTCAATGAAGACTGTACTCTCAAACTGTATATGTTATATACTTGTGTAGGCTGTAGTGGGGTAGCCCATAAAGGGTACAACCCAATGTTAGGGTTAGGATATGTACCCAACTCTGTTCCAATTGAAGTCATTCCTGTCTCTAGTTTCTAACATGGTTTCAGAGCAGTAGGTCCGTAGGACCGTTTTTTTTTTCGGGCCCACCTACCGCTACCCCACGAATGAGCCTGTGACTGTAACTGTCACGCCTACTGCCTCCTGTCTACTGTTGTTCCGCGCGTGTCGCCCTTCCAGCCCGGGCGTACCTTCCAGCACGCGCGTCGCCCTGCGCAGCCCGCAAAGAGCCCGCGCAGCCCGTGCCGAGTCGCGCGCAGTCCGCTGCAGCTGCGCGCAGCCCGCGCCGAGCCCGCGCAGCCCGCGCCGAGCCCGCGCAGCCCGCGCCGAGCCGCGCGCAGCCCGCTGCAGCCGCGCGCAGCCCGCAGCTGCCGCGCGCAGCCCGCGCCGAGCCCGCGCAGCCCGCGCCGAGCCGCGCGCAGCCCGCTGCTGCCGCGCGCAGCCCGCGCCGAGCCCGCGCAGCCCGCGCCGCGCCGCGTGCAGCCCGCTGCTGCCTCGCGCAGCCCGCGCGCGGCCCGCAGCAGCCCCGCGCGCTGCTCCGCGCAGCCCGCGCTGAGCCCGCGCGGCCCGCTCAGTCCGCGCCGAGCCGTGCGCAGCCCGCCCCGAGCCCCCGCAGCCCGCGCGCGGCCTGCTGCTGCCCCGCGCACCGCTCACGCAGACCCGCCCGGCCGCAGAAGTGGCCCCGACCTGCCGCTGACGCGGCCCCGCCCTGCAGCTGCCTCGGCCCCGACCTGCCGCTGATACGGCCCCGCCCTTCAACTGCCACGACCCCGACCTGCCGCTGATGCGGCCTCGCCCTGCAGCTGTCGCGGACCCGACCTGCCGCTGACGCGGCCCCGCCCTGCAGCTGCTACGGCCCTACTCTGCAGTCGCTGTTACGGCCCCGCCGTCGCCGCCGTCGTGCGCCTACCCGGCCGCCGCCCGCCGAGCGCCGGCCCTGCTCGCCCGGCGAGCGCCTGCCCTTCCAGCCTTTGGTGAGCACCTGCCTGCCTGCCTGCCGGCCTGCCTGCCTGCCTGCCTGTCTGCCTGCCTGCCTGCCTGCCGGCCTGCCTATCTACCGGCCTGCTTGCCTTCCTGCCTGCCTGCCTGCCTGCCGGCCTGCCTGCCTGTCTGCCTGCCTGCCTGCCTCTCTGAAGGCCTACCTGCCGGCCTGCCTGCCTGCCTGGCTGCCTGCCTGCCTGCCTGCCTGCCGCCTTGCCTACCTGCCGGCCTGCCTGCCTGCCTGTCTGCCTGCCTGCCTGCCGGCCTGCCTGCCTGCCTGCCGCGCCTGCCCTGCCCGAGCTGCTGCTGCTACTAGCTATTAGCAGGTGGCCAGATGCAGCTCCAGCGACGTTCACGCGAGTCTCTTACGCCCCAGCAACTTAGTGAGTGGTATACTAGTTGGGGCTGTCGCGGTAGCCGTCGTAGCTGTCGCCCTGGAGCTGGTCAGTTGGGAGCGTCTGGCAGTGGCCAGCTGCAGCTGCAGCGGCGTCCACGCGAGACACTTACGTCCCGGCAGCTCCAGGAGTGGTACGCTCAGTGTAGCGGTTCTTTGAGTACAGTTCGCTGCCCGTACGTCATTCGCACAGGTGATAGGACTGGTCAGCCTTGTGGGACACTTGGTCACACAGAGTCCCGCTGCTTCGCCCGTCTGAGCGATGCCTGGCGTACCGTGTTTGGCGACGAGGCTGAGCTCCCCACCTGGCTGGAGCTGCTTGGACAGAGGGTAGATATCTTTGCTCTTGACTATGATGCTATTCTCACTGCCATGTATGCATTGCCTACTAGTGTTGACCGTGCCTGTTACCTGTGCGTACCGCCTGACCCTGGTATAGCGCCTGCTGCTCTCGGTACTGGTGAGGCTGCTGCTCTAGGTGCTCGTGCGTCTCCTGCTCTAGGTGCTGGTGAGGCTGCTGCTCTTGGTGCTCGTACATCTCCTGCTCTAGGTGCTGGTGAGGCTGCTGCTCCAGGTGCTGGTGAGTCTGCTCTCTCTGGTACTGCGCCTGCTGCGGTCTTGCACACCTTCACCCTTGACTCAGGAGCTTCCCGCTCCTTCTTTCGCGACTGCACCACACTCACGCCGCTTAGTCGGCCAGTTCCAGTCTCCCTGGCGGACCCCTCCGGGGGTCCAGTCCTTGCCCACTACTCCACGGTTCTGCCGTGTCTGGCCGCCCCGTCTGGCTCGCTGTCAGGTCTTTACCTCCCCTCGTTCTCTACGAACTTGGTGAGTGGAGCTGACCTCCAGGATGGGGGGGTTCACCAGTTCACTCCTGCGAGTCAGCAAGTGACTCACTGTACGTGTGCTCGGACGGGCCGACACCTGGCCACATTTACCCGTGCGCCTGGCTCGAGTCTGTACACACTGACCACTGAGTCCCCTCAGGTCGCTGCGTCTGCGTCTGCGTCCGGTCAGCTGTCGGCCCCCTGCGAGTGTCGCGCTTTGTCGCACCAGACCCTCCTAAGGCACCACCGCCTTGGTCACCCCTCGGTGCAGCGCCTTCGTGGCATGCACTCTCGCTCCCTGGTTTCTGGTCTTCCCAGGTCTTTGCCTGACCTCTCTCCCTCGCCTACGCCGCCCTGCATTCCTTGCGTCGAGGGGCGACAGCGCGCCGCTCCTCACTCCTCCTCGTTCCCTCCCACAAAGGCTCCTCTGCATACTCTCCACCTGGACGTGTGGGGCCCAGCCCGCGTCCGTGGACAGGGCCACAGGTGGTACTTCCTGCTGGTCGTTGACGACTACACGCATTACACCACGGTCTTCCCCTTGCAGCGCAAGGGTGACGTCCCTGATGTTTTGATCCCTTGGATCCGCACTGTTCGTCTCCAGCTCCGCGAGCGGTTCGAGCGGGACTTTCCTGTCCTGCATCCGCACTCTGACAGAGGTTTTGAGTTCACCTCAGACCTCTTGGCAGCCTTCTGTGCGGAGCACGGCATCCGCCAGACGTTCACGCTTCCGGCCTCTCCGTAGCAGAATGGGGTTGCTGAGCGCCGCATTGGCTTAGTC